GTTTTAGTACCCCTGCATGGACCTACATACCAATTTAATGAAGGTCCCATCCACACCCTGCGAAGTAGTTACATGGACATACAACAGACAGTACTATTCTATTTATATAGATTCACGTCCAGATAACAAAAGCTCGCAGGATTGTTTTCCCCAAACAAACTCTTTGAAAGTGAGTTTTATATCTTTCACGCCTTCATGGAACTTCAACATTGCATAAACATAAAAAATAAATAAATTTGTTGTCTTTCTTCCGCAAAGTAGAAAAACAGAAAATCAGAGTTGAAATTTATTCAATAAAATTTCATTAGTTATTTAATTTTACAGTTATAAGCTATATTTTTTAAATACAACATTAAGATCAAGTTAGTCATATAATATTCGGAAATTTTGATGAATGGGAGGCTTTGCGAAATACTTAGTACAAATATTAGATTATAAATAAATTAATGTACAGTGACGTGTAAAGTAGTGAATACGAGTTGACTGATTTCGATTATCTTTTCTAATATCTATCCTCCCCCATAGCGCGCATACTGTCTCTAAGCCTGCATATTGGCTTATATTTATACAGTCAATTGGCCAAGTAAGCTTGTTGAGAAACAGTGAGGCATCAAGAAGATTGAAAGTTGTTTTCTAGTCGGTAAAATGAATCAGTCAGTGCGTTTATATTTTTGGATCAGTGTCAGCTTTCGCGCTAACTGAGTTACTTTGTATAAATAATGTTACGACAGCGGAAGTCACGTGACCCTGGTAACACGTAATGAGTATATACAAGGATCGGGGAACATCAGAATAATCCAGTATTTGCTAGACGCCCTCTATTCCTGTATATAAGCAGGCAAATAAAGCGAGATAATTAATCGAATTGCAGACAAGCAGAGATAGATACGGACAATTGAGTCAAGCTCGGTAGTGACCGTAACTAAAATGTGTGAATCGTTGTGAATTATAGCGTGTATTTAAGTTAAAGTGACTGTGGAAATTAAGTGTATTGCAAAGTTGTATTGAGAAAGAATAAACTAGTTTTATTTAAGAAAGGACTTGTATCGCTGAAGTTTTTCGGAAAGAATTTCTACGGAAAATTAACCAACGACCAGAGACGTAACAATAAGTTTATTTTTAAGTTATTACAGTGCTGTTAGCGTGACTATAAACCTAGGCCTACTTCAAATTACAAATAGTAAAGTCTGTAAAGAAACGCTACGAAGGAAATAAAACTAATTTGATGTTATTACATGGACTTAACGTTGAATTACTTTAACAATATAATTTAAAGGATCCTGGCAACATAAGAACAGCTTTGCAACACTGTACATAAAAAATATTTAAAATTTGCATATTTTGATTTTGAGTTAATTTTATTATCCTCCAAACGTAATAATTCATGTCTGTGAATTTTCCTATTTTTTTCAGAGCTTAATACAACATTCAAAGCTTCCTAGGAGGAAAGTCGCAGTAGTTTAGAACATAACAACTTTAATTTGACATTGCAACTTGAATACAAATATAGTTTTATCGATTTGTAGCCAATCACTGTTTTTTAAACTCATTGTTCATGAGCTTAGCTTCAACCAGTCATAGGCTAATGATCTAAACACGTAATTAATACTGTTGCGTCAGCGAGATCACGTGACTAGTATCACGCCACCCGTTTTCTAGAAATATCCTGTTCCTTCAAGAATGCCCTAGCATTTACTAGATATGTGTTAGTCTTGTATATATATAAGACGTTGACAACGTGACGGGACAACAGTGTAATGAGTAATTGAACTGCAGTCAGAGAGTATTGTTGAAGTTGAGCACGTGAGAAGTTCGTTGAGAATTATAGCGTTTGTTAGAGAGCG